CCCCAAGCTGAGGCAGCAGAGCTTTGCGTTTTTAGGAATGCCAGGTGGGCTCTGGCCTGGAAACGCACGATGAATGGACCTGCCAGAGCACGGAGACRGAGCAGGAGACACGTCAGAGCTCCAGGAACAGGGCTGGGAGCTCATCCAGCAGCTGGGCTTTGGAGCTCYGCTGTGCTGAGCCAAGAAGGAGCTGCTTTGGTTTCCTTAACTGGAAGAGCAGAATGTGCAGCTGGGCAGCGCAGAGGTGGCTGCTCTGCGGGTGGAAGGTGCTCTGCTCCAACACTGCAGGACCTGGGACAATGCATCTCAAGATTTTTAAGTAAAGGATTATTTTTCTACTATTTATTGAACTTGGAAACTTTGGGGGGAGGGAGGGGACAAAACCCCTTAGCGATTCTCAACGAGTACCACGTGCATTCTGTGCTGGGGAAGTGCTTCTTCCCGGGAAAGGAGCTGTTCCTTAGGAGCTGATGTGCATCCAGTGCCCCACTCTGCAAAGGGAAAATGAAGAAGCCCTCTCTGCCTCGCTGTTTACATTAGGAATGCTTTCTTTCCCACWTTTGTTTACTGTAAATATTACAGCCTGATTTCTATTCCAGTGTTGTCTTCCTATTTGCAGAGGAGAAATCGCGTACTCTGTTCCTGAAATTCAGAGAATTCTGCCCAGAAACTTCTCCATCTTTAGCTTTTTGATCATCCTTAAAGGATTCCTGTGTGGAAGTAATAAAGAATTTCTTTAGCATTAGTTACCAGATAATCCCAGATGGAATCTGTGCCATTCTTCTGTTTCTTTAGACCACAAGTAGGGATAAACCAGTGTTTTGTAAAACTTGGGTTACTGTGGAAGAAACCTTGAAACCATAATGAGAAGCTGCTGCTGTTCGTCTGGAAATTTAACATTGCTTGGTAATTCAAAAGAAGATTAATCAATGCCTGCAACACAGGCATCATAATTATCAATTAGTTTTAAATCACAGTGTTGTATTTTAGATTCACAGTTTGTGATTACAATGATATCAAACCATTCTTGCACTGTGCATATGATAAACATCCATTTATATGTAGTTTTGTTTTTTTAACAATCACTTGTTTTAATTAATATGGTACTTAATACTGTATTATGTAAAAAATTGGTTCTTAAACAGTACAGTAAAATAACTATATGTGTGATACCAGGATACCCCTTTATACTATGTATAAAATTAAAATCTCTAGTGAAATAAACTGTATATAAGTATAGATCTGTGGACAAGCAGGACTGAAAATTCACTGCAGTTCCATCAGCAACCTTGGGAGATGGAAATTTCGATATACATGTCAGTATTGGTGTAAGTTTTAAAGSCTGTTTTTAGCTTGTTGGTCATTATTTGGGAAATGGCATTGCTGGAAGTGGTCAGCCACTGCTTAGAGTCACCAAAGCCAATAATTGAAGGGTTTTATTTTCCTGATCCTCTCCTGAAGCCTCCGTGGCTCTGGATTTGCTGTTCTGCTGTGTCTGTGCAGGATTAGGTGGAGGTTTTTTTGCTGAGCAGGCAGCACAGGAATCTCCTGAGCTCTGCTTTGTGCTCTCAGAGCTCTGCAGCTCAGCCCTTTGGATCAACTTTGCTGGGATTCCTTTCTGATGTGGAATCCAAAGTCCTGCTGCTGGTTGGGATATCCTGGGATAAATCATTTTGGATCAAAATGTGYCAGAAATATCATTAATAAGCACRTGCATTGGAAAATATTGTAATGTTRATTAMTTTAACTACARTATTCTTTCRGGGAGWAGGTTTTTTGKGRCTCTTCACCTCCCATGCCAGCAGAAGGTGTTTCAAGGGTTCTGCTGCAGCTCTGCCAGGAATACAGCACATTCCAGAACCTCTTGGAACATCACTAATCAAACCCTTCTGCTTTTGCCTTCAGAGCTTTTTTAGAGCTCCTYCTCACTGCTGCTTCATCCATTTTTTTCTGGGCTGCACAAACTGTTCTKGATTTGAGGGGTCTGGGCAGYCCTGCTKAACTKGAAGTGATGGGAAGAGGCAGAGCC